TTTCAATTAGCAATTCTAAAAGGATATATGGCCCCCTCATTTTAAAAACTGTATAAATGCTAATATAATCAATATTTTCAATACTATGCTGCAGTTATAGTGACAATAGCATGTTTATTTCTCGGTTGTTGGGGGTAGATTGCATTTTGTCTTTTTAAATTTGGCTGAATCTTATACAATGACAGTTTTAGATAGTATAATTATAACTTGAAATTATATCTTGCAAATATACAATATCTTTATCTTCCTGTAGGGAGCTTTGCAGTGGAATATTTTCATAGTTATACACAAATTTGTTCAATGGGGACTGACATAAGCCCTGGAATATAAAGGGTGATTGGCATAGCTCTTCAATATCATCATGTAAACAAGAGGCCTCCAGGAGCAATGAATGAACTTTTATCATAATTTCTTTCTTCATTTTCAGCAAATTGACACATCAGAGTTAAGAAAAATACTTGAAACAAAAATTACCATGTCGGCAGACTTGAGATATTCAGACTATATGCCCAATTTCATTAATGATGCACCCTGAGGTATATTAAGAGAAGGTAATAGAAAAATGAATTTCACTTTCCAACTCACCAATAACTTCTTTGTTTAAAAAAATTGTTCCTGGCAATGGACGATTTTATTTCACTTAGTAAATACTTTAATATTACTCTTTTATGGCAATTTATCAGTTCTTTGCCTTTTATTGGGGAAAAAGTCTTTCGGGATATTTCTATAAAAAAAACACATACTTTTTTTCCATTCTCATCAATATTAATTAAAATGTACAGTAACACATTTTTCTTGGAAGATGTATCATATGTAGACATAATTTACTTATAGACGTGCATTTTTATACAGTTTACTGTATTTTCTTTTACACTGATACTGTGATATACTAACTTTAACATTCATCTTTATTGATCATACTATATTTACATGATTAACAAAGATGAATGTTTCTACCACGGAACAGCTGTGACTCAATATGACTATCCTTTTTCCTCTTGAATTACCAATGAAACACCAATTAAGTAATTCTATTAAAATAATATCACTTACTATTGTTGTGATTGATTCATTATCTCTAATTGCTGTTAACCATTGTCTTGAAATTAAACCTTCTCTCACTACTTACATTCACATCCTCAATGAATATGCATAATCTTGGACTGCCAAATGCAATCTAAATGGTTGACAAGATTGTGTAATATAAAATAGATTTATATTTTTAGCACAATATATTGAGAATGGCAAAAAAATGGTGACCGGCCAATCAGTCATCAGTACATCTATGTTTTAGTCACAGGTATTTTTAGCAAAATTCATGGACAAGTCACAGGACAAAATTTCACAACCTGAGACCTGTCTGTTATTTGTATCTTATATACACCTGAATAAATCTTGGGTTTTGGGGGAGAAGAGGGCAGCCCGCTGGCACTACAAATTAGGGATATAAGAGTGTAGTTGATTAACCAAATAACTGAGAAGAAAAAGCTTAAAGGTTAATGCTTTAGACTACACACATTCCCCCCGACCACCACCACCATGTCCGCCAGTACATTTTTTAACAGGCTGGCTCAGTTCTGGCTTACGCTGGGTCTGAGATCCACCCCCACTGCGGCTCTGCATTTAAGTGTATTAGGACTCGGGAGGGCGGGCAGCTTTGCTCAGTTCCCACTCACACCAGGTCTGGGAGCTCAGACCCCACCCTAGACAGGGGCTACTGCCACTCTGCACTGCTGCCTCTTCATCAGAGGTAGCAGCACAGGGCAACATGCAGCCAGACTGCGAGAAGACCTTGTTTTTAAACTGGCTCCCCTCATGAACCAGCTCCCATCTGGCACCCCATGCTGCTGCCTCTGACACAGAGGTAGCAGTGCAGAGTGGTAGGGGGCTCCACAGGAATAAAGCTGCTGGGCCCGCCCTTGGGGACTATAGAATAGTCGACTAACCGATAAGAATTCATGAGGTTACTCGACTATTCAATTAACTAATATTTAACATCCCTACCACAAATGCTCTGGGGATGGCCGAGAGGCACCACAGATGCCAGAGGGAGGTGCCTGTGAGGATAGCATGGGGTTGCTTTGGATATTTGAGAGCAGCAGCATGAAGCCCAGGACCCCCACCAGGTGGAAGCACATGGGGTTCCCAGGACACCCATATGCCTAGGGGCCACAGAGGCCTGGTGGCTGCTTCTAGGACCCACGCAGAGGAAAGGCAGCTATGGAGCTTGCCTTAGCCCCAGGCCTCCCCGAGGCTTCCAAATGAACTTCCGGCTGGGGCTGTCAGGGTCCCTTTTCAATCAGGTGTTCTGAACTGGACGTTAGGGAACGCGGGGAGGAGTTGGCAGCAGTGCATGGACTGGGACACCCACTGCTGTGGGGAGGGAGAGAGGAGCTGCAGTAGTGAGGGACCCCTGCTGTTCCTGCTGCTGGGGATGGGGAAACACAGCAACCTAAGACTTCCTCAATAGCCGCTGGTACAGCTAGACAAAGGGCTGTCCAGTCCTGCAGCCAACCGCACAAGCCACTGCAGAAGTCCTGGAAAGTCATGAAATCCATGACTTTTGAGACCTCTGTGACCAACTTGCAGCCATAGTCAATGGTTTAGAAAAAAATCACATTACCTTGTGGCCCCTAAAATAGACGCAAAATATATCAGAAACTGAAAGCACATACAGAGCCAAAGGAGTCTGTAAATTGAGACATTTAAACTTATAATACACTTAGGGACACTTTAAGGACACATTTCTTTTTTCTTCTGCCAAATTGTGTCACTGCATTGCAGGACACAAACTCCACAGAGGAAAATGGAAATTTATTGTAAACTTACATGTCAATGAATATACATTTAACTGTTACTTATCAACACAAGGACTTAAGAGGAACTATATTTTTTGTAAAACTACTATTTTAAAATGAGTGGTGGGATGCAGAGGAAGAGGCAGAAAGAATCATGAAACAGTTGTGGCTTTTCACATTTACCACGGTCCAAGATAACTACTGATGTTTTACCTCTGGAGATCCACCATATAGTAAAAGCTGTGGCACTTAGGGAAAAATTGATATTGTGTTTTATAGGGTTCAATGTTATGAGCACTCAACCCAATTCTGAAAAGCACTTAGGTTCATTCTTAACTTTAAGCATATGAGTAATTCCACTGACTACAATACACACACACATACTCATCCATGGTTTTGAGTAGAGGCACCAGCATGAGTTCAGGATTGTCACATTACTAAGAAGCGAATTATGCAGACTGAACTTTCCAGATGAGTGCATATAAACTTTTACACACCTTCACATTCTCTCTCTCTCTCTATTTCTCTGTGTCTGTATGTGTAATTTTTAACAAGCTCTTTGAAAAATAGTTATTTCCAAAATAAAGGGATTTCCAGAAACTAGTTAATTAGTTCTTAGTTCAAATTTCTGTGTGAGGTACCAATTAATCCATAATTTCAAAAGAAATTTACTTTTGTTTGCTTTATAAATCATTTGATTTGGAAACTAGCATAATGGTTCTGAACTTGAAATCTGTAAAAATATAAAACTAAACAACCCAATGGAAATTAAACCAAAATGTTAAAACAAAATGGAAATTGGTGCCAAAAATATCCATATTAATACAAAATAAAAATCTCCCAAGTTATAATAGGTTCATTCATTTTAATTTAGACCAAGGTGGAAAAAGGAAGAGAGGAAGAACAGAAAACGTGTTTGAATGTGTATGAAAAAAGTGCACTGAATTTTGTGGCCGTGATGGACATGGAAAGAAGGTAAGTGAGTTAAGGCCCATTAACCCATCTGATGACTTTTTGTCAGGATAGTTTTCTGGAATGTTTCAAGGAGAAATCTCTTATTTTGTTTATAACTCTTGGACTAGCTTATCAACTATAGAGTAGTCACTGGATGAACAAAAAAACAAAAAACAAAAAGCTGTAGTTTAACTGATTTATAAAGAAACTTATGTCATCTTTTGTTCACTTCATTCTCTTGGGACCAAAGCATGATTCTTCTCCACAGCGCATGCTTTTTCCAGTGTCACTCTAAATGACTCAGCAATGTGGATTTCACCACTTCTTGATATTCACCTGATTTTTTTTCCTTTGCTCAGTTTCATCCCATCATTCTTAATTATCTCCTAAGGCAACACAAAATAATTCCACTCTCTGGAGTTACATAGAGTTTTGCCATATCCCATCTCTTGAATTATAATTTAACTACAAAGTTTAGAATGATAGAAACTGGACACAGAAAATACAAAGAGACTCAAGATCACCCCCAGGATTTCAGAACCAGCGAGGAGCCAGATTATGGAATCAGGAAAGCAGACAGGTTCTTAGGATGTCACACATGAAATGTCAAGCAGAATCCCATTAGTCATAGTTGCAAATAGGATTCCAGAATTCTGAGGAGTAGTAAATGGAGTCCGATTGAACCAGCAGTAGCATTTACCAGTAGTAAATGAAGTCCGATTGAACCATTCAAGGAAAGGGAAAATGAGAGCAATTGATGTCAAACAGTCAGAACTCAACATTTGTTTGCCATAATATTAGTAACTGCAATGGAACTCTGGACAAGCAGTAATTAATTATCTGGGATACAACTCAACAACCAAGCAGATCTTTTTTGTTCTGTGTTGGTACAGTGCACAGCACAATGTAGCCCTGGTACATAATTATGCTCCCAGGCATTATAGGAATATCAAACAATAATAGGTCTTGATACTGCTGTCATTACACAAGTAAAATTTCCAACAAGTTTATTGGGAATTTTATCTGCATTAAGTCAGCGGGAATCTGTTCCTCGGAGATTAGGCTAAATTTCAAAGGAGACTATCTTTGCAGATTTCACTAGCACTCCAAATCTACTTTTCTGTTAATTTCTCTGCTGCCTCCTGGCAGAGGTTAAAAAAATTCTGCACCAGACAATTTCTCGTGGAGTTCAAAACTAGACTTACTTTTAAGGATTAACTGCATTAAAGTCAGCTATAGATCTCCATCACAGGAAGAGCACGGATAGGATAGGATTTGAAGGGAACCTCATTCTATCCTCTTCCCTGATGTCTGTAACATAGGGGAAGAAATACAGTGTAGACAAATATGAATTCCTTAGAGATCTGAAATGCGACCAGAGGACTTCCACTTAAAAATGTAAGTTAAATATAACATCAAAGAGAGCACGATTCCATATGTCTAGTTTGTTTTCAATGTAGCAAATATTGGTAATTGAAAGAATATGTCTATACTAGGAAATTATTTCAAAATAACTTATTCTGAAATAATAACTCCAGAAATAACTATTTTGAAATAGCATGTCCACTCTACAGGGAAGCCTCGGAATTAGTCTAAGGCAGGCTCCCATAATGTGGACGGTCTACCACGACTTAGAGTCCCAGGAAACACTGGGGAGTAATTACTTTGAATGACTCTGGGGAGTGCTTATTTCAAAATAGCAGCACCTGAGCATCCATACTACTGCTATTTAGAAATAAGCATTCTTCCTCGTGGAAAGAGGGAGTCGTTATTTCGAAATAACCAGACCATTTTTTCGAAATAAGGGTCTTGGCGGAGTGGACACTCTGCTTATTTTGAAATAACTCCCTAGTGTAGACCAGGGCCAAATGTGTTAAAGGGAGTTGACCATATACTAGAAATGCAAAGGTTTAACCGGTTAACCAGTTAACTAATGAGTCTTAATGGTTGAGGCTTACTGGTTAAAGTTAACCCAAGGGGGCTGGAGCAGCTCCCTGCCTGCTGAGCTCCAGCCCCACAGGGTGCTCACCATGGACAGGGGCTGCTCCAGCATCTCAGGGGGGAGGGGCATTCCAGCCCAGTGGCAGGTGAGGGGGGGCTGCTCAAGCTGGGTTGGAGTGCCCCCCCCACTCACCTCCTTTAATCAATTAATCAATTTAGCCAAACACGATTTTACATCTCGACCATATAAAAGATTTATTTACTAACTATACCCCTTAGTAACATGTACCCCCTTTTTTTCCAGACTGTTTCAAAATGGAAAACTGAAGGAAGGTTTTATCTCTCCAGAATGGGAGGTATAAATATATGTGGTTTGGGACTTGACATATTGGTAATTGAAATCTAAGAAAGGGGTGTTGAGAAAACTATTTGCATTTCCTGGTGGTGCTGCTATAAGCACGCTATATTTAGGGAAGAATTCTGTTTCGAGTTGAAACTGTGAGTCACAAATACCCCTTCAATTAAAGTGGAATCAGTAAAACCATCACAGCTACAGTACACCAGGTTTCCTATGAGAGGGCCTATTATGGTGTATTTCACTCTATAAGGAAAGGATTCATTACAGGCTTCGATTAAGCTGAGAGCTGAGGAGGAAGGAGGTTTTATATTATGGGTAGCTCATCCATATCCAAAGGAGGAGAGACAAATTCCCCTCTGGGGGATACCCCCCATTAAAAATGCATTGGTGTAAAATTTGGTCTGGTGCCTGTAATAGAAATTGAAACTGAGCAGCAGAATTGTCTTGCGTTATTTAGTTCTAATTCAAAGTTCATTGGAAACATCTGAATATTCTCATTTTGAAATTAAAATTAAAATTTCTTGAAGCACAGTAGCACTGACTACTTGCCCCATACTGAGCTTTGAATGGTCAGTGGAGATTTTTCATGTAATTTGCCTGTTCAGCTCCATTCACTCACTCTTCATTCCTGTAATAACAATTCTAAAGTTACTGTTCCTCAAAAATTATATTTTTTCTTTCCTCCCCCAACAAAAAGCACAGTTCAAAAATTGGAGTTTAGAGGAAGATGATCGTGTATTGGCTTTTAGGCACATGCTCTTCCATTAACTATCTATTTTGCATTTTAAAAGTTTTTAAACTGACTTTGCTTACACTCACTCTTCATTCCTGTAATAACAATTCTAAAGTTACTGTTCCTCAAAAATTATATTTTTTCTTTCCTCCCCCAACAAAAAGCACAGTTCAAAAATTGGAGTTTAGAGGAAGATGATCGTGTATTGGCTTTTAGGCACATGCTCTTCCATTAACTATCTATTTTGCATTTTAAAAGTTTTTAAACTGACTTTGCTTAAG